CAAGACCCGCACCTGGCAGCCACATGGCGCAGACCCCTGCAGCTACCCTGCGCCCGCCCAGAGCTGAGTTACTGAGCACGGCTCCACAGGAGAAGTCATTTGGGCCCAGGATGTCAGCAAGAACGGCAGTGCGAGTTAGGAGAAGTCATTTGGGCCCAGGATGTCAGCCACAACGGCAGTGCAAGCTGCGCAGTGTCCCCGCCCGGCTGGGAGGCCTCCCAGGAACATCTCTAGTGCCCTTGAGGAAGGTTCAATGCCCTGGCCCAGGTGGGTAATGTGTGGTGAGAAGCAAAGCCAAAAATCCCATGGGCTTTCATCTTTCAGGATCCTGGAGCCAGGTTTCAATGCACAGAGCGACATGCCTGCATTTCTCTGAAATTTCCACTCCTTGCGGAGCTCCCCTCTGTGTCCTGGCTGCCTGTGCAGTGCTGGGCACCAGTGGGGCAGTTAAATGACTTGCCTATGGATGCAGGGAGAGTCAGTAGCAGGGCAGGGATGAAGGCACAGAGCTCCTGGCACTCGGTCCTGTACTCAGACCAGGTCCCCCCCTTCCTAGGACAGCGACCACCACAGTGCAACAAGGGGCTGGTGCTTTGTGCTGTGCCCAGAGGGGACCCCCAGCTACCCCCCACGCCTCTGCACTGCACCTTGAAGTAGATGACGTAGGCAGCGACCAGGACACCGATGCTCTGCAGCAGGTCCCCAACCACGTGGATGAAGGCGGCACGGACACTGGGGTTGGGCTGGGCATCAGGGCCATGGGGACCGTGTTCATGGCCGTGGTGACTGTGGCCATGCCCGGTCTGGTGGAGGGAAACACCCATCCTACGGAGGAGATGGAGGTGTCAGGGCATCGAGGGAGCTGCCTCTGCCTCTGCCTCTCCCCTTGCCTGAAGCTCATGGAAACAGGCCCTGGTTGCCATTGCAGCCTGCAGCAACGGCTGGCCTAGTCTGGCCTGGCCTGCTCTAAATGCACCATCAGTGCAGCTGCACCCCCAGAGGCAGGGGCCTGTCTCACCCCCAAGCCCCTTCTCATCCAGCTGGGGTTCAAGGAGAGGGGAGGGGGCAATCCTCACCCCTGCAGGGCACATGTCAAGAGGCTGTGGCATGGGGAGGTGGGTTAGAGAGGTGCCCAGAGCTTCTGCATTCATGAGCAAAATCCCTGCTGGCATCTGGCTGACCAGGACCTGATCCTGGAAACCCACAAGGATCCCCCAGCTTCCAGCCCTGGAAGACCTCCCAGTCCCTGGATTAATTATCCCTAGGGGTGGCCAAGGCTTACCAGCCAGTCGGGGCATTCCCATAGGAGGGAGTTAGCCTTTGCCATTAGCCAGCAACTCCCGCCCATTCTCTCCAAGCCCACCCCCAGAGCCACGCACATGAGATTCACGGCCACGGCGCAGGCTGAGGTGATGAGCATGGCCTCCCCTTGGATCTCGTACTCGTTGGAGAGCAGCCGCTCCACGGCCAGGTAGACCAAGACACCAGTCACCACCCAGATGGACAGCACCGAGAGCAGGGCTCCCAGGATCTCTGCGGGGCAAGGCCAGGGTTAGAGCAAATGCTTCACCTCCGAGCTCTCCCCACGCCCCCAGCCTCTCCTGGACCCAGAGTGGCCACGGCAGCCTCCCTTCGTCTCCCAAAGCAGCTCCCCCCATTCGGCTCCAGTGCCCCCTCTACGGCCTGCACTGTGAAGCCGGCAGCATTGGGGGAAGGCCTCTGCTTGCCATTTCTAGTTCCTTGATGGTCCGTACCAGCCCCTGGAACTACAGCTAAGGACGGGGACTTGGAGAGGCCCCTGTGCACAAAGCTTAAACTTGCTCCTCCAGGGCCAGCTGCTTTTCCAGCCCCGCTGCTTCCCCCTGCACCTTCTGGAGGCAAATCACAGCAGCTCTGAGACCCCAGGGCTAAAAGGCTGCAAGTCCAGCCCACCGGCACTGCACGAACCACAGCAGCACAGAAGGCAGGGCAGCGTGGCACCTTGCAGACTAACTCAGTTAGGACAGTCTAGGCCCTTTAGCATAAACGCCGTAAGGCAGCTGCACACAGCAGTCACAAACGACTGAGGGAGATGCAGCATGGTGTCCTTTCCCCCTCGCAAGACCTGCACTGGCTCTGCAGCAGCTGCAGCGATGCTTTCCTCTTAACAAGCCAGCCACCTCTCTACGAATCTCAGTATCTGCGGTCCACGCATTTAAAGGGGCTGCTGGCACCCCTGCTAGCACCGCGGAGAGGCTATGCCAGCCCGAGGACTCTTGCTGCACGGCTTATAGCAACTCCGTAGAGCAGCAGAAAGCTGGGATGGCTAAAGAGGCATTTATTTACTGGTATCCCTGCATCTCCATTAGATTCTGTACTGTCCCGGCGCTCTTCATGGTGGGCTATTTTGCCCCCCTACCAACTCCAACTGGCACAGCTACACTGGCAAGGCTGTGTAGCGTACACCCAGCCTCAGTGGTTTCAGGGAGAACAGCCCAGCTTCTGGGCTCACATTTGGCCTTCTGGATCCAGAGGCCAGGGCTGCAGCCACCGTACAGGGCTGAATAGTTAACTCAATCCCGACCTGAACTGTCAGTGGAGTAGCAAAGCCCACAGTTTGTGCCGGCAGAAACCAGGCTCAGACCCTGCACTTGCACAAACACTTGTCACCAGAAAGGAGAGTGGGGCAGGGAGGGTGAGAGCCCAGACAGGAACTCCTGGAGGGGGCATTTAGAAAGCCCAAGGGCCGTGGAAGAGATAACAGACACCTGGGCCTCTAGGATTTCCAGAACAAAGGCCTGCCCTGCTGAGATAGCAGGGCTGAAGCCAGGCACAGGCCACT